GTGGGGGAGGGGGTGAGAGTAGTGGGCGAGGGGTGGCACAGGCATGACACACTATCATGTCGCAATGCACCCGCATTTCTCGAAGGTTCCGCGACGCGTAGTACCGCGACGGAGCGCGGTAGGTACAAATTGCTCGGTACTTACAAAAGGCTCGCTATACCGTCACGCTCTGTGTGACGACTTCCTGCCGGCGACCGGGGCGGGCCGGGGTCCGTGGGGGAGGGTACTGTGCATGTAGGTGGTGGTTCAGCCGAGGAGGAGGAGGTGGGGGGGGGGTCCCGATCACCAATTATCATAGATTGTAGGGGAGAACGCGGCCCCGGCGGGGAGGGACAGGGGGAGCAGTCGCCGTCGAGGATCGCGGATTTGCTTCGATTCCTCTGTACTGTACAGGGCGCAGTCGTGGTTCGTGCGCGACCGCGCGCTCATGTCATCCGAGGTAGGCCGTCCGTCAGCAGCGTGGACATCTCCAGTGTCGCACGGGTGGGCTGCAGTCCATGGGCGGCCAAATGAACCTCGGTGCTGCACGGCAGCGCAGCACATATAAGGGTTTAATTCAGTCTCTGCAGGGCGGGGCAGGGCTGCTTATTGTATGGACTGGACAGACGGAGGACGGGTACAGTGGAGGCCGCCGGGGCCCCGGGGGACCGCGGGGGCGGGGGCCATGCATTGTTCGAGGGCCGCGGGCACCGGGGCACCAGGCACCGCGCGGGCAAGGGTGACGCACTGCATGTGGTGCCGCGGGAGGAGGGGACACTGTGGCGGCGGTGCAGCTCAGCGCAGAGCTGGCCATGCCGCTGCAGTTGACGAGTGTTTGCCTGGGCCGGGCGTGCTGATGACGTGTTCTGTGTCGCTCCGGCGCCAGGGTCGGGGGCCAGGCTGAGCCGCGCCCGCCCGCCGGGCTCCAGTCGCCACCTGGGTGACGAGGAGGAGAGAGCGAGTCGCGGAGGAGGCGCCAGGCACGAGCACCAGGACGGACTCGGAGGACGCCACCGTCGTCGCCGACAACATGGATAGCATGCTCGAAGACGGAGCTGCGGGCCTGGCGCTCGCCGCCGTGTCCTCGGTGAGCGCAGGGGCCGCGGACGACTCGGAGTTGAGCAGGTCAGTAGTGCGGGTCGCGCTGCGCTGACTATTTGGTGACAGCGAAGTGAAGCAATCTCCTCACCAAATTCGTTTTGGTTCCCCGACAGGTTTTCACGACCCATGCTCACCATGGCCGCGGTGCTCACCATCCTGGTGATGATCCTGGGGGTGGCCGGCAACCTGCTCACCATCGTGGCGCTGCTCCGCTGCCCCCGGGTGCGCAACGTGGCGGCCGCCTTCATCATCAGGTCGGTGAGGGGACGGGGGGTATAATGAGGATGCGGCAACAACAATGTTTCTTCAATTTTATCATTGACTTATTGTTCTCTGTTCCGCAGCCTGTGCGTGGCGGACCTCTTGTTCTGCGTGACGGTCCTGCCCTTCTCGGCGTCGCGTTTCGTCCACGGCACCTGGACGCACGGCGGCGCGCTCTGCACCGTCGTGCCCTTCATGCGCTACGGCAACGTGGGCGTCTCGCTGCTGTCCATCGCCATGATCACCATCAACCGCTACATCATGATCGCGCACTACGGCATGTACGGTCGCGTGTACCGCACCGGCTGGATCGCGGCCATGATCGTCTTCTGCTGGATCTTCAGCTACGGCTTCCAGCTGCCCACGCTCATCGGCGTCTGGGGTGAGTATGAGGGCCAAGTCCGAACATTTTCCGGAAAAATTAGAAACCTTTCGAGAAAAAAATGGCAAAAAATTGAAATATTTCCAGAAAAATGGAAAAGGCTAAAACTTCCCAGGAAAAAAAAATTAAAAGATTTTTCAAAAAAATCTTTTAAAATTTTGCAAATTACTTTCCTGCAAAACCGATTGCAGTATTTTACCCCGATCTCCTTTCGCAGGGGTGTTCGGCTTCGACCCCCAGCTGGGCACGTGCTCCATCCGGCCGGACGCGTCGGGCCGCTCCTCCAAGGCGGCGCTCTTCATCACGGCCTTCATCGTGCCCTGTGTCATCATCATCGCCTGCTACGCCAGGATCTTCTGGGTGGTGCACCAGTAAGTCAAAATGTCCCGGATAGTCCGCGTGACGCGGCTGCTCGCCGAGGACCTCTGCGTCACGCTGCCCCGCCCCGCCCCGCACCGCACCGCCCCGCCTCGCCTCGCCGCGCCCTCACCGCGATGGGGGATTAATTCACTTTGTTAAATACCACGATGTAGTTGTTAATGCTGGCCCCCGAGGCGGGCTGCTTCTGCTCGTCATCTTCGTCACGCTGCTGCTGGCGGGGGCGCGGGGGACGGGCGTAAAAACCAACACAACGCGTTGTGTCCGCTTCCTGCAACCCAAAAAAATCGTTTCTTGATTCTAGTAAATTTTGTCCTTGTTTCAAATGCACGCCGACACAAGATTAAATTTACTCTTGAAACAAGCTGATGTTTTATTTCGAATAAGAATAAAATCTTATGCCAAAGACAAAATTGTCTTGTTTCAAAGGTGAATTTCATCTTGTGTCAGCTTGCACTTGAATCAAGCAAGAAACTATTTTTGTGGGTGTGGACGCCTCCCTCGCCCTCTCTTTCCGCTCTCCCAAAATGAGCTTCGCCCTGTCCGCGCCTGATGTGTTGATAGCTGGATAGCGGTGACGCGGTGACACCCTCTATCCCTCCGCAGTCCTGCTGATGGTCTTTCCAGCAGCGATGAGCAGCGTGTTTGTTGTGTGGAGATTGTGGTGGCTGGAGAGGGGGGGGGGGCAGCCGGGGAGCGGCGGCAGGCATGCCTGCAGGCGCCACCTCACCTCTCTCGGTTCATCAGTCTCATGACAGTTGTTTTGCCGGATCGCACACGAACTGACCCAGGTTCTGGTCGTCCATCATGGTGTACGCTCAAGTCTCAAGCCTCAAAAAGACTTCTAGGCTGCCTCGGCGACTCGTACGATGGCACACGTGAAGGCCCACCGCGGGTGGGTTTGTCGAAAGCGAGTAGGCAACCCGCCCACGTGCGTGCCCATAGCACAGTCTAACTACGGGGCGGGACAAATCAGCATTCAATTTTTCAAAATTTCAAAATTTTCAAAATACGTGACTTCGTGCACAAAGCCTCATGGGGTACCAATCAATCGAGATCCGCAAGTAAAAACAATCCCGCTCTCATATGTAGACCATGGCCTGATTTATGAACGGGAGAAGCCACCTCTTTACGCGGTCGGGTGCTGGCTATCCCCAGTCTCTCTCTGGCCGCTATCCACCTCGTAGTGAATCATGCCCCATGATGCATACCAGCGACCACGCCCTCCCTGTACTGCCCTCCTGTGCTGTGGCTGCCAGAGGTGGCTCCCGAATCCGCCTGGCAGGGGCAGGGCGGCGGGGACGGGGACGGGGGCATGGGCTACAGCGGCCCCTAGTCTGACGCCTACGTCATGGCGATGTTTCAACCGTAGGGCGCCGGCTCCAATTCTGCGTACGACCTCATAACGTTCGAACTCTTTGCCCTTGTTGTAAGTTTACCTGAATACGATTGACACGTACATCCTGTTTTGTTTTTGTTTTCTCTTCAGGTCCGAAAAGCGCATGCGTTCGCACGCCGTGGGCGGGGGCGGCGCGCGGCCCGGGCTGGGGGCGGGCGGCGGGGCCGGGTCGGGGGCGGTCTCGCAGAGGTTCAAGCCCGACCAGCGCCACGCCCGCGAGGGTCGCGAGATGCGCGCCAAGCGCAACGAGTGGCGCATCACCAAGATGGTGCTGGCCATCTTCCTGTCCTTCCTGTGCTGCTACCTCCCCATCACCATCGTCAAGGTCACCGACTCGGACGTCCGCTACCCGGGTGAGTCCATAACACGTCCCCGTCATGCCTCTGCCAGCCCACACCGTCCTGACCACGTACTGTTCCTCTAACGACCCTTATCCCCAAACCCCAGGCCTTCACGTTGCGGGTTATCTCCTGCTGTACCTGTCTGCCTGCATCAACCCCATCATCTACGTCATCATGAACGCCCAGTACCGGCAGGCCTACCGGAGCGTCCTCACCTGTCACCGGCAGCGCGGCCGCATGGGCGCCAGCACCGCAGGTAAGCTGCTGGGGCCAAAAATAACAGTTTTGGAACAATGGACGGAAAGCTAGTAAAAGCGCCGTCCCGTGGTTATGACATCGCATCACTGCTGGCATTAACCCGATGCATGCCGACCGAACAGCTACTGCCGCAACGGTTTGCAGTATTATTAGTCGCTTTGCGTGCGTAGCGAGCGATCTGCTCGAGTGTTTGCTGCTTTATACTGACTCGACTACTTGCGTTTGGCCTGCCTCCTGTTATTATCATTCTGTATGCAGGCCACTCGGATGACCCGGAGTGGGGTGGGTGTTAGTTCGCACGTGCTGCGCCGGCATGGTAAGTCGCTCTGCGCCCCATGGACCCGCGGTGAGCGATCGAAATCGACACGATATCGAATCGATATCGACATAATATCAAATGTCAGAAAAAAACACTTCAGGATCGATTCGACACGAAAATCGACAGTTTTCTGTTGTCGATGTTGGTGCGCCATCGTTTCGATATCACCGTTTATTTTCACCGTGGAGGGCCCCTTATTCCCTCGTGAGTCCTCGGCTGCGCTGCAACCGCTTCTGACGCCCGCTTGGCTCGTCTCGTCTCCTTGATCTGCATTTGCTGCTCGCGCGCCGGCCGTTAGGACGAGGTCCTCGTGGTCCTTTGCAAATGAGAATGAGAGAAGCAGACCGTTCACCCACCACCCCCACCTCTCGCACGGCAATCACGATGAACCACACCATCGTTAACTGTCCCTGCCCACCCACACGGTTCTCTTGAGCCCGTACAAAATACCATACCCAGTCAGAAATGGATGGTCGAATCGACGTCGATGTGTCGAAAAGTGGTCGTTGGAAGAAACAGGTCGGAAATTTTAAATGATCGACGAATTTTCGACCTAATTGGTTTTGTGATTTTAATGCTGTTTACAACTGTACAGTTAACATATTATTGAAAATTGTGAGTTTAAGTCAACTAAAACAGAACTTGTGGCGTTCCTTCGAATCGACGTCGATTCGACCAACCATTTCTGACTGGGTATATAGCCCCCTCATTACCACACTAGTGAAGCTCATATGGACATTGTAACATTTCCTGGCACGTCCTGAGATCTCTATGAGCTCCTGTGATGGTCCTGTACCTACCCACGGGGCCATGATATTTGTCCCCCCCCCCTCTCCCCCGGGACCTGCATCTTGCGCTAATCTTTTAAAGACTTTTGTTTCGCGGTTCGTCTGGGCTCGTTTCGTGACGCGACCTCTTCGCATTTGTGCCTGTTGCAGATCGGGGCATGGACGGCAACAGCAAGACCATGGTGTCGCAGGTGTCCATCGCCATGTCCCCCGTGAGTCTGACGCCCGGCCACGGCATCGACGACGACTTTTGAACGACGGGGAAATAGGAATGACCCGGCAAGTTCAACGCTACAGTGTTACAGCAGTGTGGTGTAGATTGAGTGAAGGAAAATCTCGTGATGCGAAACACCGCGAGTCGTATATGCTAGTCAGTGTGCCAAAGACAAGGTGAATGTTCAATATCTGCCATAATCCGTTCTTCCAGAGAGGCTAACGGCTCTCTTGTTCATTTTATTTTTCATTCCACTTATGAAAGTAAGTAGCTTTAAGATTGAGTGATACAAAACTGCAAGATACACGTACAATTAAAGTTAGTGATTACATTTTGTAATAAATCAATTGTAAAATAAAAACTGGCGTTTTAGAGTATTGCTCTGTATTCCCTATATTGACAGCAAACGAGTTACAGAAAGAGTTACCGGAAGATCCCCTAAAGAGCAAAGGAGTATTGACGGGAGAGTGCGCGTGGAGTGTCGCCGCACCGGGCTGGAGTATCCGCGCGCTGGAGCGGACGAGTGCGATGGGTTGCCTACCCCGCCGGCGGCGTCGCGACTCTCCGCGTGCGTGCCGCGGAGTCGTGGGCGTTGGGAGGGTATGCGCCTCCTGCCGGACGTGATGCAGAGATCGACTTGATTCCACGATGCCATTAACGGCCCATCTGACTCGGCCGGTATATTTTGGTGGGAGTGCATTCGCAGCATACGCCTAGGATTGTTTACGGCTC